ACTCACACGCCCTCTCAACCTGTCCCCTCTCACACAGCTACCCCCTTATCCCCCCTCCCCCTCGACATAACCCGCAGGGACTTCGTCGCTGCTCAAACTCTCTCCAACCCCCTTCACCCTCACTCAGCTACCCCCTCATCACCCCTCTCCCACGGCCCCACCACTGCTCTGACCTCCTCTTCCACCCCACCCTACATTCCTCATACTGAAGCTCCCCCCACACTCCACACCTTTGACCTTACTACCATCGAGGAAGTCTCCAAGACCCTCTCTGATGCCCGCCTCACCACCTGCCCCCTCGACCCTATCCCCTCACAACTCCTACGACCTTCCTCCTCCTCCATCCTACGCTCCCTCACCCACATCTTCAATCTCTCCCTCTCCTCAGGCACTTTCCCCTCCCCTCTGAAACATGCACACATCACCCCCATACTTAAAAAGCCCTCCCTGGACCCCAATGACCCGAACAACCTCAGACCCATCTCCCTGCTCCCATTTACATCTAAACTCCTCGAGCGCCTAGTCTACACCCGCCTATGCTCTCACCTCAACGACAACAACCTCCTCGATCCCCTACAGTCCGGCTTCCGTCCCCTACACTCCACCGAAACTGCCTTACTCAAACTCTCCAACGACCTGCTAACCGCCAAAGCTAATGGCCACTATTCAGTGCTCCTACTCCTTGACCTCTCTGCGGCCTTCGACACAGTCGACCACCCCCCCCTCCTCCTCAAAAAAACTACACTCCCTCGGCCTCAGAGATTCTGCTCTCTCCTGGATCTCATCCTACCTGTCACAACGCTCTTTCAGCGTTACCTATAATGCTACCACCTCCCCCTCACTCCCCCCTCTCTGTTGGGGTCCCTCAAGGCTCTGTCCTCGGGCCCCTTCTCTTCTCCATCTATACCTCCTCCCTTGGCCAACTCATACACTCTCACGGCTTCAACTACCACCTCTATGCCGACGACACACAAATCTATCTCTCAACCCCCCACCTCACCCCCTTGGTCTCAGCCCGAATCACACACCTACTGAGCGACATATCAGACTGGATGTCGCTCCACTTCCTTAAATTGAACCTCTCCAAAACCGAGTTTTTGTCTTCCCCCCAGCCCGGACACCACCCCCCATTGATTTCTCCGTCACATCCAACAACGCTACCATCAAACCCGCCCTGCAGGCCAGAGTACTGGGTGTCATTCTGGACTCCAACCTATCCTTCCAGCCCCAAGTCCACTCTTTAACAAACTCGTGCAGACTCCACCTCCGCAACATGCAGACTCCACCTCCGCAACATGCAGACTCCACCTCCGCAACATCGCCAAAATCCGCACGTTCCTAACCCCAGAAACCACTAAACAGCTCATCCACTCCCTCATCATATCACGACTCGACTACTGCAACTCCCTCCTCACTGGCCTGCCTCGCCGCTGGCTATCCCCGCTTCAGTCCGTCCTGAATACGGCTGCCAGACTCATTCACCTTTCCAACCGCTCTGTCTCCGCCACCCCCCTCTGCCAATCCCTCCACTGGCTTCCGATTGCGCAACGGATCAAATTCAAAACCCTAACGCTGACGTACAAAGCTGTCCACCATACTGCCCCGAACTACATCACCGACCTAATATCCAAGTACCGCCCAGCACGCACACTCCGCTCCTCACAAGACCTCCTTCTCTCTAGTTCCCTGGTCTCCTCCTCCCATGCCCGCCTCCAGGACTTCTCCAGGGTGTCACCCATCCTCTGGAACTCCCTGCCCCAACCCATCAGATTATCACCTACTCTCCTCTCCTTTAGGCGCACCCTGAAAACCCATCTCTTCAGGGAAGCCTACCCCAGCCCCTGCTAACTTGCCTCCCTCCTCCACTCTTCCTACCACTCCATCCCCCACAGCTATCTCCTCCTGTGCCACCACCCCCCCCTCCTAGATTGTAAGCTCGAAAGAGCAGGGCCCTTGATCCCCTCATGTTTTGCATTGTATTGGTATTGTTCTGTCACATGTTCTGTCTCCCTTTGTAATGTACAGCGCTGAGCGAACTATTGGCGCTTTATAAATACTGTATAATAATAATAATAATATGATGGTATTTAGAAACGTGTTCTGATACACTGTGATCTTTAAACCCTATTTTAATATTTTTAATATGTTCTGCGACACGTATTTTTCATGATCTTTTAGTTCTCCCTACATAAACAAGATTACATGGCTGTTGTAACAAATGTACTACATGGGTGGTGTCACAAGTAATAAATTCCGATATAGTAAACTCCTGTTCCACATTAACAGTGAAGGTGGTGAAGGTCTTACTGTTTCTGACAGGACGACAAGCTCTACATTTGCCGCATGGTTTAAATCCCTTTTTTATGGGGGAACATAGATGTACTATTAGGGGCATCTATTATTTTCCTAACTATTTTTTTCTCCAAAATTGGGAGCTCTTCTGTAGATGAATTTAGGTGTCACTGGTAAAACCTTTCCCGATGTTTTATCCAACAGAATCTGCCAGTGCTTTCTGAAAATGTGTTCCACATCCTTATATTGACAATGAAAGTCAGACAAACTCCATTGATGTTGATCGACTTTAACCCTTTGTTTATCCATTAAACATCGCTCCCTCGGTATTACAAGAACCTCCCTCTTAGCCTGGCTCAGGAAGGCTTGAGGAGATCCTTGTTTAAACCTATTGTTAATAATTTTATCCTGTGAAATATAATCACATTCATCTGAACAATTCCTCCTAATTCTCATATATTGACCCCTAGGTACAGTGAAAGAAATGCGTATTTGCTCCCCTGCTGATCTTGAATGTTCACCAAGCTGCTTGGCCATAGTTTGGTAGCCCAGTCCAGCCTTGTGTAGGTCTACCATCTTGTCCCTGACATCCTTGGACAGCTCTTTGGTCTTTGCCATGGTGGAGAGTTTGGAATCTGATGGTTTGATGGCTCCTGTGGACAGGTGTCTTTTATACAGGTAACACAATGAGATTAGCAGCACTCCCTTTAAGAGACTGCTTCTAATCTCAGCTTGTTACCTGTATGAGAGACACCTGGGAGCCAGAAATCCTGCTGAATGATAGGGGATCAAATCCTTCTTTCCCTCATGAACATGCAGATCAGTCATCATTTGTTAGACGCATTTCTGCTGAATTTGTTGTTGTATTCTGTCTCTCAGTGTTACACCGAACATTCCATTGTTAGACCGATCATTTCTGTGTGAGGGGCGAACATTCCATTGTTAGACCGATCATTTCTGTGTGAGGGGCGAACATTCCATTGTTAGACCGATCATTTCTGTGTGAGGGGCGAACATTCCATTGTTAGACCGATCGTTTCTGTGTGAGGGGCGAACATTCCATTGTTAGACCGATCGTTTCTGTGTGATGGGTGAACATTCCATTGTTAGACCGATCGTTTCTGTGTGAGGGGCGAACATTCCATTGTTAGACCGATCATTTCTGTGTGAGGGGCGAACATTCAGCATCAGCAGGGGAGCAAATACACATTTCCTTCACTGTATATGACTGTGTATATGGCTCCTCTGTGTGACTGTGTATATGGCTCAGGCTCCTCTATATGGCTCAGGCTCCTCCTGTGTGACTGTGTATATGGCTCAGGCTCCTCTATATGGCTCAGGCTCCTCCTGTGTGACTGTGTATATGGCTCAGGCTCCTCTATATCACTCAGGCTCCTCCTGTGTGACTGTGTGTATATGGCTCAGGCTCCTCTATATGGCTCAGGCTCCTCCTGTGTGACTGTGTATATGGCTCAGGCTCCTCCTATATGGCTCAGGCTCCTCCTGTGTGACTGTGTATATGGCTCAGGCTCCTCTATATGGCTCAGGCTCCTCCTGTGTGACTGTGTGTATATGGCTCAGGCTCCTCCTGTGTGACTGTGTATATGGCTCAGGCTCCTCTATATGGCTCAGGCTCCTCCTGTGTGACTGTGTATATGGCTCAGGCTCCTCTATATGGCTCAGGCTCCTCCTGTGTGACTGTGTATATGGCTCAGGCTCCTCTATATGGCTCAGGCTCCTCCTGTGTGACTGTGTATATGGCTCAGGCTCCTCTGTGTATATGGCTCAGGCTCCTCCTGTGTGACTGTGTATATGGCTCAGGCTCCTCTATAAGACTGCAATAAACCCCCCCCCCTCTCCCAGACCAGCTGAGCAGGAAATTCTATCATCATCTAGAAATGTGAAAACAAGCGGAGGAGGAAGGGTGGGGGTATCCTGGAGACGGGACGCTGAGACTGGCAGGCTGTAATGACGCTTAGTCCCCATTGTCTCCCTCCAGTCAGTCAGTTCTGATTTTCTTTTTCCTTCCTGCCGTGATCCGTGTCAAATATTGGAATTCCTTCTCACAATGCATTCTTCATACTAATATTCTGTGTGGAGGTCTGCCGCCACCAGAGGGCGCAACGGCTGGCCTGTCAGCCAGTGAATTCGGCATCTTTGCTGAACAAATGGTGCATTAGTGTGGCTGATTAGTGTACTGCGGCCAGACTGGCCCGAAGAGGAAAGAGTTGTGGACAGGGGCGAACTGACCATTTGGAAAGTCCGGCACTGCCCGTGAGCCCGGGGTCAGTAGGGGGCCCCATGAGATGCCCCTGGTAACTTTTTTTTTTTTTTTTTTCTTTCTCATAGGCTTTTTTGAGTTTGGGCAAGGACACGGGCCCCATGATTCCCTATTGCCCGGGGCCCCATAAGTTGTCAGCCCGCCCCTGGTTGTAGACACACACCCACTTTCACTGTTAGGCCCCACCCACATTATAATGGGAGCAAATCAACTCTTCAGACTCCTAGAACATAGTTGGGGTGATGTACAATCTCCAGAGCTGAGAATGATACACGGGATGGACATGGGACCCCCTACTTAGTGTCCTGTTGTAGTTACAGGACGATCCTTTGAAGGGGGGAGGGGTTTCTATATGTCTGGTCAGCTGATGTTATAATATAATGGTGGCTGTGCCGGTCCTCACTATGGCTTCTCTCTCTCTCCGCAGCTGTGCCTATCCCTGGGCTGTTCCCGCCTTCAGCTCTCTGTTCTGGACTGGAACCAGCCGGCCATCTCCTTCTACCAGTCCCGCGGGGGACGCAACTTATCCGACGAGGAGGGGTGGTGCCTATTCCGCTTCCTCCCCGATGACCTACAGCGGATGATTTCTAAGAGTGCCGAGAAGGGTGGAGACTCTGGACTGCCGTAATACAACATGGCTCCCACCTCTTCTTTTCAGACAAGAAATTTTAAGGGGCGCTCCACCTAAAACCGATATTACAGGCGGATTCACCAGTCGGCTGTGTTCACATCTCCGCTTACCTCGGGGAGGGGCTTCACCCTGATCAGCAGCTATGGGGGGAGCGCTCCTTCAGAATCCCTTCCATGGACATGATAGGTGGAGGTAGTAAGTATTTCCACCCCCCCAAGTGAACTCTCCTGAATCTTTGATAAACACTGGAAATAGTATTTCATGAATAGATTATTTTATCAATGGATTTTTTTTCTTTCTCTATGGACTTTTTTTTTTTTAAATGGTTTTCGAAAGTTCTGTCCAACCAAAAGTGAAAATGAAGCCTTGAATGGCATCTGGTGGCCTGAGTGCAAATTACAGGGTCAGGGGCACCAACTCCACCCACTATGCTATCTCTGCTTTGGTTGGTTTAAGGATATCCCACTATGCTGGTAACGCCGCACCCCCCCCCCCCCCCCCCCCCCTCCCGAGCTTTCATTACCTCCTGGAATCCTTACTGCTCCCTCTGCTGGCCTTCCCCTGGCTATCATGGAGCAGGAAGGGTTTATATCTTCTGCTCCCTCTGCTGGCCATCCTCTGGATATCATGGAGGAGGCGGGGTTTATATAAGGGAGTGAATAAGTTGCTTAGTGGTTTTCAAGGTTAGGAACGGTCATTTCTTGGAGATGTTGTGGAGGTGAAGTCTACATGAGTTTGCCAGTGATTGGACCTGGGGCTGAAAGGACAGATTGGAGTCTAGGATGACACTTAGTACCCTGGCATGAGGGGTGGGACTGATGGTAGTGTTGTCGATCATGATGGAGAAGTCGGGGGGGGGGCACGGGCTGGGGGGAAAACTAGAAGCTCAGTTTTGGAAAGGTTGAGTTTGAGGAAGTGGAGTGACATCCAATCTGAAATGTCACTTAGTAGGCTAGTGATGCGATTGGAGACTGAGGGGGGGAGGTGAGTGGTAGAGAGCTAGATTTGTGTGTCGTTGACATAAAGATGGTAGTTGAAGCCATGGGAGTTTATCAATTGACCAAGGGAGGAGGTGAAGATGGAGAAGAGAAGGGGTCCAAGGACAGAACCTTGAGGGACCCTAACAGAGAGAGGGAGTGAAGAGGAGGTGGCAGCGTTGTAGGTTACACTAAAGGAGCGCTGCGATAGGTAGGGGGAGAACCAGGAGAGAGCGGAGTCTCTGAGGCCAAGAGAGTGGAGTTTTTTTTTTTTGAGGAGGGGGTGGTCAACCGTGTCAAAAGCCGTGGAGAGGTCAAGTAGTAGGAGTATAGTATAGTGGCCATTTGGTTTTGGCGGTTAGTAGGTCATTGGTGAGTTTGAGTAGGGCAGTTTTGGTGGAGTGCAGGGGGCAGAAGCCGGATTGTAAAGGGTCCAGAAGGTTGTCAGCGAGATGGGAGCTCAGGCTATTGTAGACTAAGCATTCTAGGAGTTTAGAGGTAAATGGCAGCAGGGAGATGGGTCTTAGGTTGTTCAGGTCAGAGGGGTCCAGGGAGGGTTCCTTAAGTATGGGAGTGATGTGCGCATGCTTTAGAGGGGAGGGGAAGGTACTGGTGGAGAGGGGGAAAGATTGAAGATGTGAATGAGGGAGCATAGGATGGAAGAGGAGAAAATCTTAGTGACCTCTTCGGTGGTAGTAAGGTCAAGGGAGCAGAGTGTTGAGGGGGTTATTGTGTGTGGAGTGTTAAGTGGGGTGGGTGTTTGGGTGGGTGGGGTGAGCAGTGGCGAAGTCCCTACGAACTGTGTCAATCTTGCCTTTGAAGTAGTTGGAAATCTCGTGGGCGGTGAGTGAGGTACTGGGTGGAGGCACAGAAAGTAGAGAGTTAAAAGTGGAGAAGAGCCGCCGAGGACTGGAGGAGAAGGTATTAATGAGGGTAATAAAGTAGGCTTGTTTGGCAGCATGAAGGGAGGAAGTGTATGTTAAGAAGGCAGATTTATATCGGTTGAACGCTTGTTGGGATTTGATTTTGGGCCATAGTCACTCCAGCGCACGACTGTTGTTTCTGGTGTGGTCGGTCTGCCAGGGTTGTAGGGGTCGGGGCCTAATGCTTCGTGTTGTTGGGGGTGCGAGCGAGTCTAGATCGGCTAAAAGCGAGTTGTTGTAGACAGTAGTAGTCAGGGCAGGACAGGGGATGGATGCTGTCGTAAAGTTTGTCAGTTGCAGAGTGGAAGGGAGCAGGGTTCCAGTTCCGGAGGTTTCGGTTGGTAATTGTTTGCCGTTTGGAGGGGTAGATGTTTGAGGACGAGGAGATGGAGAAGGTGATTGAGGTTGTGATCGGAGAGAGGAAAGGGGGTGTTAGTGAGGTTGCAGGGAGTGCAAAGGTGAGAGAAGACAAGGTCAAGAGTGTTCCCGTCACAGTGAGTGGAGGACTGTATACACAGTATGAGTGCAAAAGAAGAGGTTATGTGGAGGAGTTGGGATGTAGCCGGGTTATTGATGCTGACAGGGATGTTGAAGTCTCCAAGAATGAAGAATGATAGTGGGTAGCTCAGAGGAGAGTAAGAAGGGTAGCCAGGCGGTGAAGTCGTCAAGAAAGCGGTCATCCCCTGAATGTAATGAAGGAGGCGGGGTTTATATCTACTGCCCCCTCTGCTGGCCATCCCCTGTAAGTTATAAACACTGCCTTCTCCATATCTACTGGTCCCCCCTGCTGGCTATTCCCTGAATGTTACAGGGGAGGGGGGGGTTTACATCTACTGCCCCCTCTGCTGGTCATCCCCTGGATATTATATAGGAGGCGGGTTTGTATCTACTGAAGCCCCTGCTGGCCATTCTCTGAATGTTACAGGGGAGGGGGGTTTACATCTGCTCCCTCTGCTGGCCATTCCCTGGATGTTGTGAAGGAGGCGGTGTTTATATCTACTGCCCCCTCTGCTGGTCATCCTCCGTTATGAAGGAGGTGGGTTTGTATCTACTGCCACCTCTGCTGGCCACTCTCTGGATGTTGTGGAGGAGGCCGGGTTTATATATCTACTATCCCCTCTGCTGGCCATCCCATTAAGTTATAAACCCCGCCTTCTCCATATCTACTGCCCCCCCCTCTGCTGGCCATTCCCTGAACATTACAGGGGAGGGGGGTTTACATCTACTGCTCCCTCTGCTGGCTATTCCCTAATGTTACAGAGAAGGTGAGGTTTATATCTACTGCTCCCTCTGCCTGTAGTCCCCTGTATGTTATAAACCCCGCCTCCTCCATATCTACTGCCCCCTCTTCTGGCTAACACCTGACTGGAGAAGGTGGTGATTCAGGCACCGGGGGCGGGAGAAGGTGGTGATTCAGGCACCGGGGGCGGGAGAAGGTGGTGATTCAGGCACCGGGGGTGGGAGAAGGTGGTGATTTTGGCACCGGGGGTGGGAGAAGGTGGTGATTCAGGCACCGGGGGCGGGAGAAGGTGGTGATTCAGGCACCGGGCTGTCCCCTCTCACTTATAAGCTCCACCTTCTCCACATCTACTGTCTCTCCCGCTGGCCATTCCCTGAACATTACAGAGGAGGGGGGTTTACATCTACTGCCCCCTCTGCTGGATATGCTAACCCCTGAATGGAAAAGGTGGTGTTTCTGGCACCGGGGGGCAGGCGATGGTGGTGTTTCAGGTACCGGGGACTGGAGGAAGGGGTGTTTCAGGCATCGGGGACTGGAGGAAGGGGTGTTTCAGGCATCGGGGACTGGAGGAAGGGGTGTTTCAGGCATCGGGGACTGGAGGAGGTGGTGTTTCATGCACCTTGGCCTGGAGATGGTAGTTTTTTCAGACACCGGGGACTGGAGGAGGTGGTGTTTCAGGCACCTGGGGTGGGAGGAGGTGGTGATTCGCGGGCCGGAGGAGGTGGTGTTTCAGGCTCCAGGGGCAGGAGGAGGTGGTGTTTTAGGCTCTGGGGGAAGGTGTTTAAAGCACATGTCAGTGTAAGATGTTACAGGCACTGGGTCCTGGAGATGGAGGTGTCTCAGGTAATGGTAGCTACAGGGAGGGATGGTTAGGCACCTTACAGGGAACAAGGGAAGCATCTTACAAGTAAATGAAGTCCATTGTGAAGTGCACAGACCTGTTGGGTGAGTTGTGAGTTCAAGGAGATGTCAGGCAGGGATTGGCGTTGATCCTCACAATGGACTCAATAGGTACTTGGCAACCATTGTGACACACACAAGGCACTCTACCACCTCTCAGCAGCAGTAATTCTGCTATTAACCCCTTTCCTGCCATTAACAGCTTACTGGACCCTTTATAGATCAGAATGAAGTTTGGGTTTGCCACTCTCAGGGGTTTGTGGTGGATCCAGCGGGTTTAAAAATTTGCAATCCCCGAGAATTAATGTGGAAGTTTGTCAGACCAGTTTGATTGTTACCATAATACAATGCCTGCCCATTGAACTTAAGTCGGCTGACTCAGGCCAATAATAGGGGTTTATTATGTGCCCGCCCCCTTTCTATACAAGGGGGGTTATTGGCAGCCATTGGCCATTTAGGGACAGCTACTGGTCTGTATAGAAGACTATTAGGCAAGCCTAAAGGGAGAGGCACAGGTTCGCACACGGAAGTTGTAAGGGGCAAGCAGATTCTGCAGAACAAAACAGTGGTTGTCCCAAATCTGCTACAAGCATGCCATGTCGGCCTTTTCTATCTCAAATTGGCCATGCTTTACAGCTACAACATGCACAGCAGTTTATGGCAGGGATGTGGCATTTTGGTAGGATGTGCTGGGGGGGGGGGGGAATAGGACCCCCTAACTCCCTCCTCATCTACGCCCCTGGACCTACAGCCAGTATACCTCTTTGTGAATGCTACGTTCACCAGCCTTTCACTGCTGGATAAATCTCAGGGGTTGCAGCCCAAACTACCTTTTGTAAGATATAAGGAATCCAGTTGGGGTTCTGCTGCATATTCCCAGCATGTGCTGTCCCTGGCGGTCCATGAAAGTCCCACCATTCTGTAACACATCCTACAGATTTAAGGCATCTCCCAAGC